GTCGTCCAAATGAGGAGATGTTGCACGTGCAGGCAGTTGGCCGACAAAAGTACGATAAAAGTAGACAATGTCAGTGAACATGTTGTGGCCGACTAGCACGGGCTGCTTGATCTTGAGTCTTTCTATGGCTCTGTCGTAGCGATCTCTTATATCATATGCGTCGGCAGTGACAATCGTGCCAGTAGTGCGTGCGACATAGAGTGGATCCGCGCGATTGATGTCGCCGCCCTTGACTAAAGCCTCAAAGATCCAGCGGAAGCCGGTTTGTCGGACAATGGATTCTTTGACGCGGTTCTTGATCCTGCGCATGTTGTCGGCCTCACGCACAGGGTCTAGATGAAGGATACGAATACACTCTCCGCGTCCTATGGACACCAACTCTGGGAACTCTGCGCGCACGAGCTGATGCACGAGACGCTTCTCGAATCGCGTGATGACGGGTATTACGGGCGGAGTGGAAAGCCCTGTATGAGTTGTAATGTCCAAGGACGACGAAGTGCTAGATTTCCATTTCTCAATGGCTTGCCTCACCCTGCGCATAAAGTCGAGCGACTCGACATCTGCCGAGTTAAGTTGCAGATCGGGTATGGGATTCTTGTTCTCGAGTCGATCCCAGGCCATGCGCTTTGCTCGCTCTGCTTCCTCGCGGGATAAGTACTGTACGCCTGTGGCAAATGGAGCCCCCAGGTCGAAACCATTGTTGAGGAGGAAGGTACACGCGCCGCTCTGAAACTTGATCTCACGCTCAAAGTCGATGCGCTCGTCAAAAAGCGGGCTGATGTTGATGTTGTAAGGCCTCAAGACATAGGTATTGGCAAGGTAGTCGAAGCGCGCGCAAGTGATACCTACCTGTAGGATCTGATAGCGGTCGGCGCCCATTTTGGTCTCGGCATAGCGCTCCTCCATGGTGAAGCGCGCCGGGCCATGTGCAGGTTTGTCTTGGATGCGCGATGGAATGCCGGACAGTTCGAGATCAAAAGACACAAAGTCGGCCTCGGATATGTGGATGAAGATGGCCAGCAAGTGGTGCGGGAAGGTAGCTGCGTCGACGTCCATGTTGGCGAGACGCGTAAAGATAAGCAAGGCGCACTTCCAAACGTCGTTGGCAATCGGAGGAAATGGGGCAGGCGCTGTGTAGAGCTATGTTGGCTGGGTGCGGAGGTCTCTCTGGTCAGTGTTGTTGAAGTTAGCAGCGATGGATCAAGCGACAAAGCCCGTGTCTAGCTCCTAACTCTGAGCTTGACGCAAGCAAGCGGGTGTCAAGCACCTTGACAACGTCTACAGACTGATGCAAACGCAGATAGCTCGGGGTCTCGGAGGCAGGTGACGCGCCAAGGCGGTTCGGGTGAGGTGAGGTCAGCCGAGGTTCGAAATGTTGACACCGGGCGCTCCGTCACCCACCGCTATGCGCTCGTGAAGCTCAGAGGACATTGCCTGGAACATTGCCTGGAACGTCGCGACATAGCGAAACATGGCGACGCTCTACGACGACGTCAGCGGGTCGCGCTACCTCTCATCATCCATCTCGTCGCTCTCGACGTCACGGCAACAGTCGTCGCAGATCGCCAAAGCCTACCGACAGGCTGCCCAGCTGTTCCTGACGCGACGACTCCCCGAGGCGCTGTCGACTATCGAGCCCATCATCACCCCGCCGCCAATCGACGCGGCCGACGTCGTGGGCCACGCGCCCGTCGCGACGGCGTCGCGCGGCACCCGGGTCAAGGTGTGGAGCTTCTACCTCACCTTCCTCAACGCCGTGGTCGAGCTGGGCGCCGAAGAGGGCAAGCACGCCTTTGGCAGCACGCGATGGAAGCAACTGGTCTCGCAGTGTCGCGACGGCAGCATCTGGGACCACGTGGTCCGCGACGGCTATGCGGGTGTCGAGGGCGACGTGGACGCCGACGTTGTCGTCAACCTGTAAGCAATCCCCTGACCTGGTGAGCGACTGCGTATTAATGCTACATAGAGCCACCCTCCTCCTTACCCATGCGCCCTCGCAGCGGCTCAATCAGCAGAAGCTCGAGACGTACCTCTCCGCCACCGCCAACCCAGCCCTCGACGTGTCCTCGCACATGTCTTCTCCGGCATACCTCGACAAACGGCCAGGCCATCGTAGGCAACACACCGGCACCGACACCCCACGCGACCTGGAAAAGCGCATCAAACTCCTCGAGCTCTACACCCTGCACGTCCTGCCACGGAACGACGAATGGGACTATGCCCGCGACTTCATCTCCATGTCCGAGGTGCTGGACCAAGAGCGCAAGGAAGCCTTCCTGCTAGCACTGCACTCTCTCAAGGAAGAAAAGGAAGACACGCAAGCCCGCGAAGAGAAGCTACGCCAGCAACAACAAGAGCAAATGGAGGAGCGCCGCAGAGAAACCGAGGCCAAGCGCCTCGAGCAGTCGCGCGCACAAGACGAACGCCGCATACGCGAGGAACAAAACAGACGCCAACCCCGCGGCTCAGACGAGCGCTTCAGCAAACCCCAACCCACGCCACAACCCACGCCATCGCAGTCTTCCCGCACCTCCCGAACGCCCGCCAAGAAACCAACCACACCACCACCCGGCCTCTACAACCGCGCGTCTACCATGTTCGCAAACATACACACCATGATTTCGGATACGGCCCATCACATGACTTCCAATCCCATGGCTTTCTTCCGTACTTTACTTTTCTTATTGGCGTTTGGCTTGGCGTTTGGCAGGCGCCATCTTAGAGAGAGGATACTACGCATCATACGGAGTGCGTGGGACAAGGTGAGACGTACCGTAGGAATGGGCGTCAAGGTTTCCTACATCTAACCTGTCTGCCATATGTGGGTCCGGTTCTTATGGTTATATATTCTTCTTTCCAAACATTACTACCGTCGGTCATGCTAACCTCTTGCAATATCATCATGCTCTTCGTCTTCGTCCTTGGAGTCGGTCCTGTCATATCACATACGCTAGCCTTCATTGTAGCCTTGGCCTGTACCTGGCTGATGCCATTGCGCGCGTCTTCCCACATTCCAGACATTAGCCGTTACAGCTGAGGTGAAGATGGGATCAATGCAGGAAATAGACTAGATTATTCGGATAAACATGCTTTGTACTTGTGACAAAGAGAACTTCGGATGGTAATGCGAGGGGACGAGGTCCACCGTTTTACCAACGCCATGAGATTGAGCACATCCTTCTGGCTATATTCAGCTCTTGGGACATCGCTATACGATAGCTCATCTCGTAGACAGAGTTGTTCAAAAAGACTTCCCATCCTTTGCATATGACTACGTTTGTACTGGAACGCAACCAAATCTATGCGCTTACTGGACCTTGTGTCTGGAACCCAGTGTCTTCCTTCTTTGCTTGATCATGTAGGTGTACATGGTGTAGGAACCTAATAAGATGTGAATTTCGAGTATAAACAAGCCGCCATAAGAGAATACATACCTGGAATGTACAGCATCAAGCAGAAGTAGAAGACGAGCGGTATGACTGGGCTGACCTTCGCTCCAGGAGCAATAGACCGGTACAGTAACCACCACTCAGCCCCGATACCGACCGGATAGAGTGGGTAGAACATGGTATACCTGGGACAGTCAGCTACCTAAGTAGGACCAAGTAGCGGATGAGGTGGCTTGAGAACATACCGGAGCCATACCAGTCCTTTCGGAGCTTTCCCGTGCATGTTGACCGCAAGATACAGGTACCGGATGGTGTCTGCGACCGACCAAGCAAGGAGCAAGGCAAGATAAGCATGCGAAGTTGCTGTGCTTTGCGGAAAGCTGTACCACACCATCCAAACCTGTATGACGCGTGTAACAACTTGAAGTGCGGTTGTGCTGACTGGAGATTTGATGACACCTGGTATCGTTCTCAATGAGATGCACAAGAAGAGGTAGGAATGATGAACATACCAAACGCCGCATGTAAGACTTCTATCAACGAAGCGGTCTGTATCCATCGCGCATATGGCTCTGTTGCATCAAAGAGCTCGAATTTGCCATTTCGAGCATTAGACATGGCTCGAACGAAGACCGATGCCCATAGCGATGCGAAGAGGACGTTGTATGCAGTAAGGTAAGTCGTGCGAGGTTGCCATGTCACTGTTGGCGTAGTAAGCTCCATACGTTGGTTAGCCATTCTCGCTCCTGCTGCTCAGGATTTAGTTGGTGACACTTCGAGGTATAAGTGAACACATTGTGCAAGCAGAAATTGTTGTCGTGGTTTCCATCGGCCACCAAGTCAAATGTAGGCGATGAGCCGAGGCTAACTCGGTGTAACTCCACTACTAAGAGCACTCGTAAACTCTCGTTTCGAACTTTGAAATACTCTGTGTTAGGATATCTGTAATTTTAGCTTTTAGCTTCCGCTTTTCTTCTAATTCTTAGGCGCAAGCGCGAACTTCAGGTGTCGTCTGCTGCATTGGCTAAGGTCGGTTGGGCACTGGCCAATCGGAAACACGTAATGACTGATTGCAGGCTGCCACTGGGAACTGCTTACCATTCAACAGAAGCGTATCAAGCAGCACCTGTACCCAGATGTGTACTACGACCACAAAGAGCAAGACGGGCACGAGCTCGCATCACATGCCAGTATGTTACTTCAAACCCCTACAAGCATTGCAGACGCCTGGCTGAATTGCTCGCCTAGACCGCTGTTTGGAAAGCTTGCGACAGCCACTTACATACCTACCCGGTGTACCTGACTACACTCTTGAGTATACGCTCCATGGTCGCGTCAAGCCGACTGTACGTGTGGCGCAAGCTCATGCACGCGTTCGCTAGTCTGCGCTACCCGAATGAATATCAGGAAAAGCGGGTGAACTCAAAGATATGGTCTCTCTATATCTGTTGTAAGCTTCAAAAAGCAAAAGGAGGTAGTGCGACCATGTCCAAGCACTCTGCATGCATCACTAAAGCGGCCTCTGTTGTTGCAACTTCAAAGTAGGTACACGTAATGGCGAAACAGCATTCTTGGGCGGCATACATGCCACTGATCTTTCCTCTTTTGCTTTTATGAATAGGGGTGTTGGCGAAGTATGGACTTTTGAGACGCTGAGTCGTCCAACCCCGGCGACGGAGATTCGCGAACAATAGTAGGAAGTTGTTCTTCCACGCGCTGAGTCCATCGAATCTTCCCTTCTTGTCCATCCTGTTCCTCATCATTCCATGCATTCGCGTGAGTTGGCGAGTCTATCGCACGTAGCTCTATGACTGTGCCATCATTCTCGGCATCCACGATTGCGGATAGGCGATATGGATCCTTTGTATCGCGAGATGAGGCTTTGCCTCGCTGTTGTGCTGTACTAGAGCCATTCTTTTTGTCCTGCAATGACTTGTAGCTTCGTTTGCTCGTAGAGTTGTAAGTACTGCGGTCCGTGGTGTAGCTTGAAGGAACATTCGTGGGCATCTTGAACCCGTTTTGGCAGTATCGTATCAGGTTTCTGATAGTGGGGACGGCAGCGCATATATGTGCAACTCCACTGGAGGTGAATCCAGTAATCGATGTGCCAGTCACTGTATAGGTTGGGTCGATAGTGTCGACAACCCCTGGTAAAAATGGCAGGCGTACGATGGACATAATAATAACACTTCGGAAGGATTAGATTACACAAACCGAACATGATCAAGATGAGACGTACCAAATACCAAGGCTAAAGAAGATGAGTAGCTGGATCTTCTTTGCAGTCTTCATCTGCAGCTTCCATACAATCGGGATAGGAAGACTGAAAAGGATAGTCTCAGCGATGATCTCGTATACAACCGTCAGTCTCAAGACGGCAATATAGTCAATACATTTCGCAGTTCCTTGCTCTTGAAGGTCCCAGATAGCACGGACTGGAACACATTGGAACGCAGCCAGGAAAAGTAGGGGCAGGGTGAACAGAGCCGTAAAAGCCATGAAGGCGAAGACCGCGCGCTTCAACCAGACGTTCGGAAAAATGCGAATATACAAGCAGAGGATGCTGTACTTTATGAGAAGCAATTCGACACCCCACAAGATGGTAGCAATATAGGCTATCAATAGTCAGTATTTGTTTATTAGAGCTGGCAGATGGAAGCATACTCCATTTTCCGATCGCGACGACACGTGGATATGTCAGGTCCCATATGTGATGGCCGAGTCCCGCTTTAAGGTTCAATAATAGGGCAACAGTCATAGGGATGACCAAGACCTGCACAATCGTAAGTAAGATGACACTGATTTGTCCATTGAACACCTACCACCGCTGCTAGATGGAGCCAATCGTCCCACCACAGCTTATTGCCGCCCACATATCGAGAAGCAAAGCGCATTACAATCACGATGATTGGTATAATTCCAGTCACGTATGCCACTATCCGGATGGAGTTCGATAGGTTATCGTGCGGCTTGTCGCAAATAGATGCTTGAATGCGGAGCGTAGCTGCAAACAAATCAGTGATACCGCTTCCGATAACTGCGATGAACATACCGAAGGTCTCGTTGTAATTGCACTGCTTTTCCAAGCACGGTTGCAAAATCTTGGTCGAGTTTTTGGAACTACATTGGCACTCTATGTCGAGGAGCGTACAGCCGATGGCAGGCAGGTTTTTGTTGATACAATTTAGCTTTGCGACAGTCAGCTGCAACAATCGTCCTGTTGTGCGATGTGTATCTTACGGCGCATGGCGGAATCTGGCTCAACGCATCCAGTGCCGCATCGTCTAATGAGACAGCATTCGTCGTGGGGCAACAGGCGCTGAACAGCAGCACAGAGGCAAATGCTAGGTGCGGGGACAGAAGGAGCATTTTGACAAGGTAGTTTACGACGATGTGCACGGGTAGCAATAATTGCTTTTCGTGCTGGTGTAGAATGCAGAGTCCGCTGTAAAAGCCACAACACATGAGCGCACGGGCGAGGCCATGTAACCTCGCCGATTCTACCCACGTCCTAAACTGACTCAGTTATCATATGCTATGTGCCGTTGGTGTCAACTTCAATTTGCCGGTGGCGGGTGGATTAGGGCTCGTCACGAAACGGGTTCGACGCAGTTAGTGGAGCTTTGTTTACGTCCAAGGAAGGGATAAGCTTGTCATCAAGCTGCCACCCTACATCTCACAACGGCGCCCAATCTTGCCCACTGGTGAAGTGGTAGTGAGCAATCTTCCAAGGTCTGCTTCAGTTCCTCTACCAGAGTGAGATCCCAACGATTAGCGATGGAGATAATCTTTCCTTGAGTATCCACAAAATCGTATGCCACACGATCTCCACAACGGCTGGCTTGATCCGCTGCACCACGGCGGTGCAGAGTGGCTCGAGCCAGCCCTAAAGAGCTGGCGCATGTACCGGTGGATTCAACCCCTGGAAGCAATCATTGCTCCACCCCCGCAAAGCCGATCGGATAGCCCACGATCAATTGTTCTTGATGATCATGTTCGCCGAGCTATCGGTCATGTCGGCAAAATACTCGATTGCGCAAGTGCTGCAAGCACCGCTGAGTCGGTACGCTAATGTTTTGATTGGCTGAGTGACATGAGAATTGCGCTACCATCGGAAGTCCATCAAACAACCTGCTTGCCGGCTCGCTATACCTTCTCCGACGTATCTATGCGCAGCACTTTACTCTGCTAGAATCTTGCTCGAGGCCCTGCATCGCGGAGGATAAACAACCCGGGAGCTAGCCTGCATCTAATCTTGGAAGTTGCCGAACGCACTACGAATGGCATATCGTGACGAAGGTGCGGCTGTTCATCGTGAGCCACCAATATCTGTCTTTCAGGCGACCCGTTCCACTTCGTCAAGATGTACCTGTATAGTATAAAACCGTAACATACTCAGGTGACCTATGATTGGCCCACTCAACTCACCCACGCCCTTTCCAGTGTACGTTCCTGACAGGCCATGTCCAGGCATGCTTCTCATTGGCAAGTAGAGTAGTAGCAACTTCCTGTAGCTCCGCATCGCTTGATGCTTGTGTTCCGGACACTCGTTTGCAACGCTACACCAGGAAAACAAGTACTAGCAAAGATCAACAGCGCAGCCATCGCACCCTGCACGAGACTCGTCATTGCGCCACTGCATAATTTTTTTCAAAAAACGATGGCCATATCTGAAGACGAATTCACGAAGCCGGCACAGTTGTTCACGGTATCAATGCCCATCAATGCTGGTGTGGGAGACTTTCGCTGTATCGGAGTGATGGTCAATCTAGCTTTGTCGTAATTGGTTATCGGGTAAACACTAGATAAAAACGTACTTCCAGTTCGGGGCACCATACAATTCTTTGGATCCAAGTAGCTTACGATAGGAACGTTCTCGAACCTGCGGTCGACCTTAATCCGCCCATTAGAGGTGATATAGGGTTCATCGAATAGGTGTCGCTCGTTGGGTATCGTGGCAGTAACGACATTGTTAGTGGTGATCGACAGGTGTCCGGTAAAGTTTCTGTCACCCATTAGCGCAAATGGCGGGCTTATAATAAGCACTAAACCTACGAAGTGTTCGGCTGTACTCTCGTCGCGCCGCAGAAAGACCTGCTAGATAGGTCATTGTTGATTATCGACAATTTAATTCTAGGCCAGCATACCTAGGTAGCATGGACAGCCAAAAGACGCCTAGGACCGTCTGTACTACCGAGGTACGATCCTTCTAGCTGCTCCGAGCTGTTCAAAATGTAATAATTTTCCTCTATATTCTGATTGTAACACGAGCCCAGTAAGGTCGAGCTTCGGGCCCTCGCGACATTGCCAGCGTGACTTGAACAACATCAAAGCTATCGCAATCATACCGTGTACCAAAGTACAATCTCAATGACCCAGCCCGAACCAGGACCAGACCGCAGTCTAAGTCTAAGGCGCACTCTATGCTTTCTATTCTTTTTGAATTCGATGGCTTTCTTTGACATGTTACATTGCCGAACTACCCAGTTAGCGCGGTGGTTCTGGGCTTGCCATGTATTGTAGACTATCGTGCGACAGCTGCCGCTATTCTCCTGATGGTAGATTTTTTTCCTGTTCTCGGTGCTTCCATCCTTCTGCGAAGTGGCATTGTCGGGACTGAGGCAAGTACGCTTTCTAGCCGAGATTACTCGTGTGGCATCGTTTGCAGGGGCTGGGCATGAGTTCGTTCGGGCTCACATCGTAGTGGTCGAGAATACCTAGGTACTCTTGCATTCTTCAAAAACTCAGTGACTTGCGTAATAAGCACTGGGCATCGCTCATCAGCTAAACGCGGAAGGAGACGGGAAAAGTGACATGTACCTACCCAACGAGAACGCGGGCGAGCTCCCCGTATCCGCGAGTCATGCTTACGCTAAGCGCGCCCTTCGCCTAACATCCATGGATCTGAATCTTACAATGCTACAAAAGCTGGAGAGTAGGCGCAGCATTACCTGGGTAGACATCCCGTTGATCTAGGTTCCGGACATTGAGACATAATGTGTGCTACCAGGACAGACTTCGCAATCCCACGGCCTGGCGGAGCATTCCCACAAAAACCGCCTATCCCAGGTCCCTCAGAGTCATCTTTTGTTTCCACTTTTGGCGCCATCCTTCCACCCGCGCAATACCTGCAAACACAAGATGGAAAAGCTGCATACTACTCGATACCACCTTCGGTACCCTCCATAGACGCGCAGACGACTGATCACGTGCTGTTCGTTCATGGCATCCAGACTCCGGCAATAGGACTGCTACCTCTGGCTCGCGCTCTACACGATATCCTTCCACACTCACATTTTGTGCTGGTGGATCTCTGGGGTCACGGCTTAAGCGATACGCCGATAGTTCCGCATCAAGCCGCCACATTCCATAGGCTGCTAGATGCGCTGCTCGATCATCTACAATGGCCATCGGCACATTTCATCGGCTTTTCCTTTGGCGGCTCACTAACAGTCGGATATGTTGACTCACGGCCACATCGCGTTAGCAGTTTTACGCTCATTGCGCCTGCTGGGCTTCTTTGTATTTCATCTTTTCCAGAAGAGGATCAGCATCATCTTGATTACGGTGTCGATAACGATAACGATGAACTGAGCAGAGTCATCCTGCAGTTTCTCGAAGGCGGCCGGCTGGTAGTGCCAAGTGACTGGAGGGAAAGAGCTGGAAGAGGCGAAGTTGTTGCGGAGGCAGTGAGGGAGTGGCAGATGCACGAACATCCTGGTCATACATCATCCGTGATTGCAGCGTTTAGAGACGGTGGTGCAATGAACAATCACGGTGCATTTGAAAAGGCCGCGATGTCTGGTATACCAGCATTGGTGGTACTGGGCGAGAACGATGAAGTTTGTGCAGAGCAAGAGTTAAGAGAAATTGGCTTTGATAGCATCTTTGTTGTTCCACAAGCCGGCCATAGTGTTGTACGGGAACGGGTGCCGGAGGTTGCTGGGTTTATCGCGGACTTCTGGTATAGGTTGAGGATCAATGAGAACCAGTGAACGCGGAGGTGAATGCGGAGATCTTTGCACTTACACTTTGATCAATTGCGTCTAATCGCCGCCTTACGAAAATCGGATCTGACTGCTTTAGTGCTCTAAACAAGCCGAAAACTACAAAAACCAGTTCACTTTAGCGACAACAGCCACTATGTCAGATGACGCCGCCAATAGCGGCACATCATAGTGTCACCCCTCATTCAAGAATTCGGACAGCGACTCTGCACCTGTGAGCCATCGACAACCTCCACAAGCACCCCAAATCCCAGCCTGTGTAGTAAAGGTCGATGGCACAGCCGTCAGCTCTTCAGATAAGCACGTACCCACCATCTCGACGGGCGGTGAACGACTATGGGTCAATCTGTCAGAGCTCAACTCGATCGCCAAGGTTGCCGCATGCACCAATCTTCAGGACCTTCATCTGAGGATGGGTGCGCAATATGATGCGCTTCTTGCCTAAGTACAGCAACATGAGATATGACGATGCAATTGGTGTTGGTGAACTCG